GGGATCGAGGGTTAATAGGTAAATTAGACGCCCGCAGTCCGTGTCTTTTACAATTTCCAAAACGCAGTTTGCAATAATCTCTCAATAAATGGGAACCAAACAGTGAGGCGACATTTTCAAAACGTCGCCCGCACTTATAAACTGCCCCAAACGGGCCCTTAAAGACATAACATGACAAACATCGATATTTACATATTCAGCACATTAAAAGTTTCTTTTACGGGTGCTGCACTCCATAATGAAATGTACATGGGGTCGTTACGGAGTGCGTCACCCGTAAAATAAACTTTTTTTGTGCTGAATATGTAAATATCAATGTTTTGCCATGCTATATCAGTAAATCTCCCTCTTATATATTGAGTGATATAAAATTGTGAATGTTATGAATTGCATAGATTGATTGTATATGTATGTTTGACTATGACGGAGTCACCTAAATATATTACTAGAGGGAGATTACTAGAGGGAGAGCACTAATGTACTCGTGCACATAAATAGAAAAAAAATATTGATATTGATGTATCCTAAATGATATAATTTTTAGACGATGCTCCTGTGATAGTTATAGAAAAATTAAAAGATAGATATTGATATGCAAATGATACACTAAGACATAGTGAATGTTTAGAATTATATTGAATGATCATATTAGATAATATAAACATTCAATTGTCTTTAGATTAATTTACATAAAATTTAACCGACGTGCATTTTATCTTCTTTTTTATTGTGTTACTATAATTTGGGAGTATGAGTATTCATTAGTTTCATACTCCTTAGTTTTTATCGTTGTTTTAAACTAAAATTTTCAGATTAAATTAATCGATTCATAGATGAACTGTAGAAGAGAAATTTTTTATCGAAGACGTGGACAATCTAACCCGAGGTAAATTTATGACTACTTTAGTTTAATTTTCTTATTTGTGATGATTCTTTCATTTGTTAAATGTTAGTTATAGAAAATAAATATAGAAAAATATATTTTTCTCGGTCCAATTGTTTGTACCCACTTTGGTTAATTTCAAGTCCCGGATCGGGCCGTGATAAAAGTGATATCAGAGCAATGTTTAGTATTATTTAATACAATATTGAGAAAGTGTCAATAAGATAATTATAAGAAAATTTAAAATAATAAAATAATAAACTTAAGTTAACTCAAATTAACTAATTATGTTAATTCAAACTCTTTAGATTAATTTACATAAAATTTAACCAACGTGCATTTTATCTTCTTTTTTATTGTGTTACTGTAATTTGGGAGTACGAGTATTCATTAGATTCATACTCAGTTTTTATTGTTGTTTTAAACTAAAATTTTCAGATTAAATTAATCGATTCATAGATGAACTGTAGAAGAGAAATTTTTTATCGAAGACGTGGACAATCTAACCCGAGGTAAATTTATGACTACTTTAGTTTAATTTTCTTATTTGTGATGATTCTTTCATTTGTTAAATGTTAGTGATAGAAAATAAATATAGAAAAATATATTTTTCTCGGTCCAATTGTTTGTACCCACTTTGGTTAATTTCAAGTCCCGGGTCGGGCCGTGATAAAAGTGATATCAGAGCAATGTTTAGTATTATTTAATACAATATTGAGAAAGTGTCAATAAGATAATTATAAGAAAATTTAAAATAATAAAATAATAAACTTAAGTTAACTCAAATTAACTAATTATGTTAATTCAAACAAATGGATGCCCCTGAGATTCTATAAGAGGGGAGTCTGGTAAGAAATGAAGAAGTACTACCTGCCATAGTTGTGAACATGAATGTCCTGACCTAGATAATGGCGGCCATGATTTCGTTGATTCATGAGTTCTGACTGTAGTCTAGTCAGGATGAAACTATTGTCGTGGATAAGTAATTGAAGTCATATCAAGATATATGTTCACCTTTGTTTAAGGGAATTAAAGATCCAATTGAAGTTGAGAATTGACTAATGGAGATAGAAAATCTCGTAGATAGCATGACGTGCCCTGATGAAAGAGGAATATCTTCTGCCACATTTATGTTGGATGGAGAAGCTGAAAAATGATGTCGTGGGCAACTTCAGGATAGACTAGGGGATGTATCCAATATGATGGTAAGTTAGGAGAATTTTGTAGAGCTTTTAAGAGAGTGATTTATACTTTTATTTGTTCGAAAACTAATGCATGAAAAATTCATTAAGCTGGTGCAAGTAGAGAATTTAATTATGCAGTATGAAATAGAGTTCACTGCACTGTGAAGGCATGCTCCACAACTGATAGCTACTGCATAAAGAAGTATTACATATTTCTTTCTATATTGAAGGATTTGATCAAACAACTGTTGGTGCCATTGAGAATTGATGATTACTCAGTATTGGTAGAGTGGTATAGACGAGTGGAAATTGATTATCAACTCACTTAGAAGCGTAAAGATTTTCACAAGAGGAGAGTATTGATGAAGGAAACTGACTAATGGAGATAGAAAATCTATTAGATAGCATGACGTGCCCTGATGAAAGAAGAATATCTTCTGCTACATTTATGCTGGATGGAGAAGCTGAAAAATGATGTCGTGGGCAACTTCAGGATAGACTAGGGGATGTATCCAATATGATGGTAAGTTAGGAGAATTTTGTAGAGCTTTTAAGAGAGTGATTTATACTTTTATTTGTTCGAAAACTAATGCATGAAAAATTCATTAAGCTGGTGCAAGTAGAGAATTTAATTATGCAGTATGAAATAGAGTTCACTGCACTGTGAAGGCATGCTCCACAACTGATAGCTACTGCATAAAGAAGTATTACATATTTCTTTCTATATTGAAGGATTTGATCAAACAACTGTTGGTGCCATTGAGAATTGATGATTACTCAGTATTGGTAGAGTGGTATAGACGAGTGGAAATTGATTATCAACTCACTTAGAAGCGTAAAGATTTTCACAAGAGGAGAGTATTGATGAAGGAAAGCATGTGGATCAATCAAAAGGATTTAATGGGAAGAATCCCAAATTTACTTATGATAGATTGAATGGTAGCACTTCTTATAATACCATATTCACTTGTGTCAAATGTGAAAAACAACATAAAGGTGAATGTTTGTGGGCTCTCATACATGTTACGGGTGTCGTCAACCTCGTCACATAGTTAGGTATTGCCCTTCACTTAGCCAGAAATTTCAGAATTATAAAAATTAGTTGGAGCTCCTTCACAGAAGACTGCTGGTGGGCAGAGAATGATAGATTCTACAGCATCAACTCCTACTGAAGTTCAACCAAGACAATCTTGAGTTTATTCACTACTAGAGAACTCAAAGAAACTTCTGCTGATGTTGATGCTAATAGGGATTTATTAGTGTTATGTTTTATTGCATGTTATATGAGTGCCATTCTAGTGATTTCTTTTTCAAAGGATGCATGTTGTATTGTTGTCATGTCACCTTGCTTCAGATGTGATGTTACCTAGTTTCTGTGGATGAGGGGAGTTTAGTTGAATCATCTTGCATCATATGTTTGCTTTACGGTGACCACTTTTCATCATAATAAATGATCTCTAGTTTACTTCATGCAATTTTTGGATAGTTCATATATTTTCTACAATGATTAGTGGTTTGGGGTAGAATTGCAAATTTCGAAGATGAAATTTTACAAGATGGAGAGATTGTAATAACCATTTTTAAACCCCAAAAAAAGAGAAATAAAGTCGTTTGAAGGAGATGCGACGCTCATTGGAAATCAAAATGAGGATTGTGTCTTCATTTTTTTGAAACAAAACAAAGGGGAAAAAACACGAGAAACAACGAGGGAGAAAGCTAGAAGCGAGAGAGGAAAAAGGAGAGGAAGAAAAGGAACAAGGAAAAAAGAAGGAAGATAACTTGTGTGTAACCCTCGTGACGATACCTTAAGGTGGAAGGCTGCGATAAGCGTCACTTGCAAGTCATGCATGTGGAGCGACACATTGTGTGCATCTTGGGCAAGGAGTCAACGTCTTCGGTGAGAGCAAGAGGGGTCGACAGGCATCTCGCATGTGGAGAATAAGAAAGCTTCTTCTCTTATTTTGATTTCCTGTGCAAAATAAGAAGTGTTGAGCGGCTTTGGTGTTAAGGAGGAGAAGAATTGGGAGGAAGGAACCCGTCGAACAACTCTGCATGTGAGTGAGAAGTCATTCCGTGCAAATTGAGTGTGAAACATGATCATTGAGGGACTTCTCTTTTGGGATAAGGGACCTTCTCAAGCGATCAAACTGAAGGAGAAGGAAAGGGCTACAAGCGGGCAAAGAAAGAAGTGAGGTAGCGTTGTTTCCACCCTAACTTACAGGTTTGAGTAGAGAAGGAAGTAGAGTTTGGAAGCAGAACTGTGTTTTGTAGCCAAGCCTTATTAGTGGTAATAAATGATAAAATTTAATGACTATATTATGAAAAAAAATTATGCCTTATTGTATTAAATTGATAAAATTTTATAATACTAGAATTAAATATTTAGTATTAGAATGCATCAATTGGTAATTAAATTTACGCATAAATTGATGCACTCTCATTATGAAAAAAATTTATGCATTATAGTATTAATATTACATACTGAGTGATATGAAATTGCAAATGATATAAACTGTATAGAATGACTATATTTGTATGCTCGACTATGATGGTATCAGTTATTTATGTCAATAATGAGGGAATACTAAGGTACACATGCGTGTAATTGGAAAATGATATTGATATCGACATACCTTAAATAATATAATTTTTATATGATGTTCTTGTGACGGTTGTATACATATTAAAAAAGATATTGATATATAAACGATATAGTAAGACATAGTGAATGTTTAGAATTACATTGAATGAACATATTAGATAACACAAACATTTCATTGCTCTTAGATTGATTTACATAAAACCTAATTGACATGCATATTATATATTTTTTATTGTGTTACTATGATTTATGAGTATGAGTATTTACTAGTTTTTAGCTTATTGCTATTTTAAACTAACTTTTTAGATTAAACTAATCGATTATTAGATGAATGATAGAAGATGAAATGTTTATAGACAATGCGAACAACCTGACTTGAGGTAAATTTATAACTGCTTTAGTTTAATTTTCTTATATGTAGTGGTTCTTTCATTTGTTAAATACTAGTTATAGAAAATGAATATAACAAAATATATTTTTCATCGTCCGATCGTCTGTACCATGTATCTACCTTGGTAAATTCCAAGCCGCAGATTAGATCGTGATATCAACATGAATTGCAATGAAATTGGTGATTTTTTATAATCCTGAACTTTTATATGAGATTTTTTGTTAAAAAATAGTCAATTACCATGATTTTTGTTTGTCTTCAATTTTTTATTTAATTGGAAAATAGTTGTCTTTAATTTGAATTTTTGCATGTGATTTTATGCTTTTCATCTTAAATTTGTCTTAGGAAATCTTGGATCCTTTGACATCTTGCATTATATTTGGTATTAGAGTTTAAAATTGTATCTTTGAGTCAACTAAAAATAGACCATAATAACTGAGCTAATCAACACAAGCTTGGCATGATGGAATTTAACTGAAATTGGGTAAACAATGATTCTAGATAATTAAATGGTTGCAATCATGTGGTTCAAAACTATATTTTTATATTTAAGGAGATATATAATATCCTAGATATTTAAATTAAGCCAATAACTTTGAAGCTTTATTCATGTTAAGTATGTTTGATTTCTATAAAGTTATATTTATTAAAACAAAATTATTAGTACTCTCAATATCATCAATGAAGTTTTTGTACTAAATTTACATGAGATGGTATGAAATGCTAATTCAAAGAATAATATTCATTGATATTGTATTTTAGCTTAGGGTTTAAGACTTTTATTTTTGATTGTACATTCATTTATTCTATTGTTGACCCTTACATATACTCCCATGATGATCAATTGGATATGGTGAGAGCAACATACGAAGAATGCGACACTAGACGATCAAATTTGGAATTCTTCGATCATGCTCGAAAACACCCAAAACATCATTGAATAGTGAAATTGATTGTGCGAGCGCGTTCAAAACATCAAAATTGCTTAAAAAGGGGTCTTTTATGATTGAAAAGCGAAAACATGAAGGAAACATTAAGTTGTCGGTGCAATGCGTGCAATTTTGTTTCAATTGTCGATGAAGTTATTCAAAATACCTCTTATTGCAAAACGAACTTCATTGTTGCATTTAGAACGTCGAATTTACATTGAAAGGACATGATAATATTTACAAATAATAACATTTAAAAATGCCGAAAAGAAATATTACTTCAAATAATAACATTTAAAAATGCCGAAAAGAAATATTACTTCTCTCACTGTCGTCACCTCCTATTTCTTGTCACATGCTTTGCCCATTTCTCGCCACCCTTATCCTTGTTCTTCGATTCATATCTCCCATCCTGTAACTTGGGTAGTTTCACACCCATGTATATCTCTCTAGCTCCAATCTTGAAAGGCCACTCTTGCTCTTCTCCATCCTGCAAATCGGCAATCCTAAAACCAAATCCGAAGTTCTGTCTCTCCCCCCTCCAACTTTCACACTGAAGCATCCTTCATGTTGCTGTCTTCCTCACCCCGGCCACGACCAACTCGCGCCTCCCCTTACCCCCACACGAAGGAGCTCGACATCTGCTCAAGCCCGAAAACTCCAAAGGTCCTTTTGTATAGCTCCCCGCTCTCCTCATCCTCCCATCTGCTTTATCAACAACAAATCCACGCACGCTTGAGCAACTCTGCTCTCTTCTCTGATTCTCTCTTCGCTTGTGTCTCGTAGGAAGCTATGCTCTTCTCCCTCTTCGCTAAACCCAACGCCTCTTCCATTGTCGGAGCATCGAGCCTCACTCCTCTTTGCTTCAACAACACAACTACAGACAACCTAACAAATGTGCAGCTCTTCATTGCTCCCTACACTGCAATTCCTCCTCCCTTCCTACGCACAACAGAGGCCAAAACCTCTGAACCATAGTCTACAACTTCCACAAAGCACTCGCCAAAAAACTCCTTAGCCCACCTCCACTTATTAAAAGCAGACTAACCTAAAACCATTTCTCACGTCTCTGATCAGATAGTTTGGCTAGTAGACTCAATTGGGTGATTTCACCAATTGTTTCCACTTTAAAATGATCACGATTGTATCTCGTACGTTTCCTAATGACAGTGTCATTTTGAATGATGAATCACGTGTATACTTTATGGGTTAAGAGGCCTTTTGTAAACTATGATTGACTTAGATTAGCCCTTTTAGACACATATTTACCCAGGGTTTATAAGGTTTCCTTGGGCAAAACAATCCATGGTTGTTGATAATGATCTTTTTGTCGGTTTGGGTCTACTACTTTCGGTAACTAGGTAGACTAGGGACCATGGCAACCCAGAAACCATGGGATCTTGAATGACTTCGTCATCGTTTCCCCCAACATCTGCTTTTAAGCTAACATTGATAAATTTCATTGTGTAAAATCTTAAATTTGTTGTTGCCACTATATGTCAAGCCTGAATGCTTAGTGTCTAATGACTGGCCTTAATTGAAAGTGCTCACTTGATATTGAGAGGGGTAATTAACTATAAGGGCTTGCACGGATGAGAAGCCTCGAACCCCAGGTCTTAATATTCTCTCAATATGAGGGTGAAATCTCTGAGTAGTGTCTTATCTATTATCTCATGTCTTCTGAAAAATTAACCTGAAATTTAACACAAACTCTTGACGAGAGTTCGGGTATTTTGAATTTTCAGAGCCCACACCTATATATTAGTTCCTGAACTTCTTTGATATGCTTCTATAAAGCACCTTAGATATTTTCTCTTCAGATGGGTTCTTTAATTTCTGCATCCCCTGGTTTGGAGTAGGCCTTTACGGTGTTAAACCTCCCGACTATGCATTACTGTTTGGTTCCTCTACCTTAGGGAACCTTGGTTACTGGGTACTGGTTTCTCATGCGCCAAGGGGAGTATTCGCCCTACATCATCATTCTTCTACTTCTAAGAGAAGACAATAGTGCACGAGTTCTCTTTAAAATTGTGACAGCTTTAGACCCCTTATTCTTCTTGATAAAATTTGATTTATTTGGTTTTATCAGGCAATATCCGATGCTAAAAAAATATTGTTTTCCATGCCATTTGTGATGGTTTAATTTTTATTTTTATTGATTCATTATATTTATTATTTTGACACATGGTCACAGTATATATAATATTGAAATTCAAAAGTGGCTGCTAATGGAGCTGTTTTAAACAACATTTTCTGGGGGATTTCAGTCTCAGTTTTTTCTTTTTCTTTACAGAATTTTTATGTGGATGATTGGGGTACGGTCACCATGTTCATGGCGACTAGGGATCACATATGTTCCAAGATCTACTCACAAATGCTCATTTTTGGCCCAATGTCCAAATTCACATCGATAAGAAGTGGGTGATGCTGGTGAAGCGCCTCTTATGGAGATTTAAAGGAAATTATACTATTCGTGTCCATGGGTCACACGTTGAGGTATGCTATGATGTGCAAAACTTGCTCTATAATTCTTCCGGGTTGCATTCTTCAAAATCTTAACTTTTTTTATATCTCCATGAAATCATTGTTGTAGAAGTTCCTCGATATGGTTCAGGGAAAAATCGCTTTTGGATTAGTGGTTTCCTATGCCTTCATGATTGAATAGATGTGAATGTGCCATTTAGTGTATTCATCATGAACTCGTTTGAGCGCCAACATAATACAAAAGTGGTTGGTTTCCTTTTGTGTACTGTGCGCAGGTATTTCCTATGTTTTGGTTTCTTTCTTCTTGAAAATTTTTGATCTATTTGGATTTAAATATCAGCTATTTGCCTTTTGTGATTGTTTAATTTCTAGTTCAGTTGTTTCAGTTGTGTTTATTGTTCTTCATAAGAAAATGTTTTCAGTGCTTTGACTTAATCATTGGAGTAGATCCAATGCTTGGGCCTTTGCTTGACACCGTTCTGTGTGATAAAGCACCAAAAGACGTTGGTGAAGTTGTAGGATTGATTATGTGAGTGGGAGTTGAAATTGATAATCGGCTCGACTGGCTAAGGGACAGCGAACCGGAAGCGAAAAAGGGCAGATGCCTGCTTTAAACAGTAGATGGCAGCGACTTCGACAGTTGTCCGGCTGAATAACAGCAGTAAAATGGGGAATGGGCAAGGTGCGGACAGCATGGGGGTTCCACCACCTGCTTCTGGGAAAAGCTACAAACACACTTGCAATAGGAAGAGTTTACAACAATCCTGAGAGGAGAAAATAAGAGAAATGTCTCTCAATTCATAAAATCAGCCAATTGAAAATCTAACAGCCCTAATACAACATATATAAATGTCTCTTAACAGAAAATATCTAATTGAAATATAGGAAATAGGAAAGAACCAAAAGATGAAAACTTGCAGAAAATAGAATTAACAACTAGGAAGGAACTCTCGGCCCGTGATTCCTGCGGTCATGGAGGCCGCGAGCTCGCCTATTGTGTAACCGTGATATTGCGGGAAGGTCCTGCATCCCACATTATGGCTTGCAGTAGTGAGGATCAATAGTAAGCTGGGAAAGTTATATACATACCAGACAAGTTCTTATGTATTTACATCTCTTACGTCCAAACTTTCATATTTATTTTTATACACTTTGGTATTAAATATTTATGAATGAAAGTTGTATTTTATTTTTAAAATGTAAGTGATGGTAGTATTTTAATATGATGTCAAAGATTTGGGTGGTATGCATGTAAATATGAAAGTTTAGGTGTTATATATGTAAATGTAGAGAATTATGTGGTATATGTAAATACCCCTAATAAGTTTAAACAAAGCTAATAATGCTTTTTAATTTCCAGTTCTCATGCTCATGATTGCTCTTTTAAGCATGCTTTTCTCCAGTATTTGTTATCAAAGTGGGGCCTTGTTATTTAAGGGAAAAGCTCGAGTATTGTCACTAATGATTGAAGGGTGAGGGTTAACAAGTTTTATGGAAAGTCCTTTTTTATTGGACAACGCAGATTGTGAATTAGCTATATTAATAGAATTTGCATCCACCTCAAGTTGAGATAGTGTAGATGCATTAACTTAAGAATTGGAACCTTTGTGATAGATGCGTTGGAAGTCATATACTTGTTTGACATGAAAAATGTGACCTTTAATATATTGCATAGGTGGACTTCATATGGTGTCATGAAGGCTCCATCATAAAGGTTTGGGAAGAAATTCATTGTGAATAAAGACATGTAATGAACATTTTTTCAATTTTAGGATGATAGAACCCTACAAGAAAATGCATAAATATTGAGGTATATTTTGTTGGAATTTAGAACAAAGTATCGATAGATGCTATGTAGGAAAATAGTTTTGATGGTGAATTTTTTTCTTACATGTGAATTTTTCTCTAATTGTTTAGCTATCAATAATTTTTTTAGTTTTCTTTATAAATTAAACAACTTAATTATTTGCGGGCTCCGAAAATTTGAGATATCATACTCTCATTGAGAGCTTATATATTAAGTTTCGGGTCAAATTTTAGAAGGTAGATGAGTTAGATAAGACAATCTTTAGAGATTTTACCCTCATTTTGCTAGGATTTCAAGATTTGGGGTTCGAGGTTTCTCACATGTGCAAGCTTCTATGGTGTATTTTTCCTCCTGATAATAGGAGAGCACTTTTGATTAATGCTAGTCATTAGAAATCTAGTTGCTTAACATATAGGAGCAATATATTTAATACTAAAAATTTATAAAATCATCAACGTGAGCTTAGAGTGGATGGTAAGGGAAATGGTGATGCGCCCGATTAAGATTCCATTATTCTTTTACCCCGGGCTTTCGTGGACCTTGGTCTACTTAGTCAAAAAGAAGTAGTCGACTTAACTGGATAGAAGGATCATTGGCAGCAACCATGAGTTCTTTCGTCTAAGGGAACCTTATAAAGCTGAGATGTATATTCTAGACTTTGATTGTATATTTTAAACTTGTGCATCTCTCCCACACTCAGATTTCACTCAAATGCTCAGGTGAACCCCCATAATTTTAGTGCATGACTCTAAGTGCTTTAAAGAACTTAGAAAACACCTTTATATTCATAGATGATCTAGTGTGTTCTTCACAGCTTTTATTCGAGCTCATTGATGTGTCCTCGAGTCTCCTAAGCATACCATATTTAATATTGGAGTCTTAAATAAAAGTGGTGCAGATTTGATGGTGATTAAACATTCTAAAATTTGATTGTATATTTTGAAATTATGCACCTCTCCCACACATATTTCATTTAAGTGCTTAAGTTAACCCCCACAAGTATATTAAATGCCTCAAAATACTTTGATTAGTCAGCGCAATGCCTCATCTACATTTATAAGTGAGTTAGTGTACTCATCACATGTTTCATTCGAGCTCATTGACAAATTGTTGAGTCCCCTGTAAATCTAGTGCAGGTTCTTTTTAATGCATTATTTATATTTATAGGTGAACTAGTGAGTTTACTACAAGTTTCGTTCGAGCTCGTTGATGAGTCGTTGAGTCCCTTGTAAGTATTATGTTGGTTTTATTTTTATTTTATTCTGTCTTCTATATTTAATGAATTAAGTTCAAGATTCATCATTAATTTGTAATAAAATATTTATCATTTTAGCCCAGCATTCAAATGGAAATTTGACAGTATTTCAACATGCATGGATAATGTCGTGAGACACCCCGACTGAAATATTTGAAACCCATCACGCCCTTAAAGAAATGTATGGGGTACCTGCAAGCGCACGTTACAACACATATATGTATATCTTCCCATTGTGTCTTGAGTGTCATCATTGAATCTTCCTCAATGTGCTTTTAAAAGTTTGCACGAGTTTGCTCGCCGTCGTGAAAGTTGGACCTAACCATCATGCTAAGAAAGGCATGCATGAACGGTGCCGTGAGACACCGCAACCGAAATATTTGAAACCCACCACACTGTTAAAGGCATGTATGATGGTACCTGCAAGCACATGTTACAACATATATATGTATATCCTCCCATTGCGTCTTGAGGGTCATCATTTAATCTTCCCCACTATGCTTTTAAAAGTATGTACGACTTCACTCGCCGTGGAGGGCATGTCATAAACAATTTGCGTCGCAAGCGTCGCATATGAGGTTTCTCTGCTACGCTGAGAAAATCATGCATTGGTTCCCCTTATCGCGCCAAACACTTCACTAATAAAATATTAGAATTTAGAAGCACAACCTTTTTATGCCTTTGTGTGCGATATGAATCGACGAGGTTGATGCACGAAAGCACACAATATTTCCCTCCCTCTCTCTCTCTCTCTCTCCCCCTCATTCTTTCAATGAATTTTTTCTTTTTTATTTTTTTTAATTTTGATTTTTATTTTTATTTTTGAGAGAGGAACAAGAGAGATAATGATTGGGTGGGTTGTTGCAAGTTGACGGGAAGGACGACTAGCCTCATTTTATTGTTGGGGAGGATGCTGGAGGCTGGAGAAAGACATCAGAAGCTTTCAGGTGAGGTAGGTGTTGCTGAAATGGAGTTTCGAGTGGTTATTTTCTTTCAGAGATGGTTGTTTGGTAACAGGATATAAGCATGATTCAATCACCGTTTAACTTGAACCTCTCTAAGCAACAAAAACAACATCAAATTCTATAGAATCCCAACTTTCGTCTTCTTTGCGGGTGCTGATAACTGATGGGGGATGTGTTGGAAATCAAGATAGGGAGAGAGATGGTTATGTTGGGCCAGTTGAGAGGAAGAAACTAAGCGAAATAGGAGTTTGAAACAATCCGACATCAAAATCGGCACGTTTTTCCACAAAAATTAGGGCAAACACAATATTTCTTCAATAAATCAAAAAAACTCAATAAGAATACAAAGATAAACACCTAAAATTCAAGAGATGGGCAATCTCTCCCAATTCCTACAATTCGAGAGGTAGGAAATCTCTCCCAAATCCTAAACCTAAGACTCACCACTCAATTCTCATGCATCAACTTAACCCTAGACAGAACAATTCTATTTATACCCAACAACAACAACAATAATAATAAAATATGAAATTACCCTTAGGCGTATAAAAAATAAATTTGCCCTTAAGCTAGGCACCAACTTAACAATACTCATCCCCAAAAGGCGCCTTGTTCTCAAGTTAGGAAAAACTGAGAATGTTCCTCCTCCCCCATAGCTGTGTATATTTCTTCATTCTTTGTATTATTGTCATGTTCTATGAGAATTTGTAATTTTTTATTGTTGCTATGATGTCCTGGGGTAAACTTTTCATCACTCCGAAAACATACCCCTTGGCTCGCTTCTTCTGAATCTCTCTGTAAAACGCTTGAGTTTTGCTCCCAGCTGTGGTCCATTATTTGTGTTCCGTGCAGCTTTTCTTTGGACTTCCACTGTTTGAGTTTTTTATATCATTGTTGCTATAACAGTTCAGCACAAGTTTTTATCTGTGTTGCTCCTGTCGGCCTTCTTCATATGATTTTGGCACTCTACCATCTGAGCTAGCTTCATCGTCTCCCTTAATCCCCACAGTTTTAATAGTCAGAGTGATGCTCGTATGTTGGGCATTAGGCTCTTTATGAAATTTTCCTCCGATCTTGCTTCAAAAATCCCTTTCAGCATTCCCAACAATAGCTCAAATCTTCCCTGTATTCCATGATAGTCTCCCCCTTGAGTCAAGGCATCTTCTTCATACCTCTTGCATAATATATTCTTCGTGTTTTGGCCCAATTGCCTTCATCAGAAATCTTTAATCCACCCCCAATCGGAGC